ATTGTCGACTGGTAACTACCAAGTGGCAAATACCATTTCCAAATTTCAACCATTTTTGCTCCCTGCGAAGTAGTTGTTGGACTTTGAAATGCTGAACGATCTGCTGATCAGCTGATGTTTCAACGCGGAAGAATTGTTCATCAAATCATAGTGATGTCGGCGCCGAAAAATAGGCCAGATGTGGCCTGTCGCCGATTCTTGTACTTTTCGTGAATTGTTCACAGGAGTTTCAAAAACAGCTGGGTCCTTTGAGTTTGACCGTATCTTTTCAAAACTGAAGATAGTTTTGACATAGCTACTGGGCAAAGACTAATATGGCAGACAAAGCACGATAGGGGAGAGAAAACGCGTTGAAATCAAGGAAGTCTTGCTAAAGTAAACTCTATTTCAATCTATAAAATTTTGAAATTTCTAATAATGATTGCAATAATATGCGTCAATAACATACAAAGAAATTGAATAATTCTCTAATAATGATCGTAAGAAGACTTTAAAATTTTAGATTTCAAATTTTCTTTTACGGATGAGAGGCTAATCACATTACTATGTAATTTAGCTACAAAATGTGAGGCCTTCAAAATGTCAGCGTGTTAGAGCAATTCTTTTTACCGGGTTATCTTAAAATATTGAGGTAGCAGCTAGTTTACTCAAATTTGCTCCTTAATGAAAGGCCAAATATTACGGGTTACAATTTATATTCAATGATCTATGAACAGTGTAGTGGTGTACTACTTAATACACTAGGTAGAGTTTCATTAAACTCTAGGTAGACAAATCTCAACGTAGAAGTCTGCGAACTATAAGACGGCGCTATTGCTTTAATAAATCACGTTAATGGTCTTCCTTTTACTGTTCTCGAGTAGCTTTTGCAAGCTGAAGCTGGGCGATGACAGGTCAAATTTTAGATTTGTATTTGTGGCCCATGGCTGCTTTTCCGTCATTGCCATCTGCGTTTACAGATCCCACGACGTACTGGTACTCGATCTGGCTTTACTTCTGGGAAGAGAAATCACCTGGTGGATAGCTAGAGGTCAGCATAGCCCAAGTCCACAGTGCGATTCATATACCTTCCCGAGCGTAACGCAGCCGCGCATCTTCACGGCTTTCGACACATAGCGTCCACCACAACACTGGTTCACAGCGCCGGAGCGCAACAGGCCCTACCGCAACAGGCACAGGTTAGGTTAGGTTACGTTAGGAGTAGCCTGTTGCGGTAGGGCCCGTTACGCTCCGGCCAGTTGTGCTCCGGCGCTGTGAACAAGTGCTTGTGACTGAACGGCGCTGTTGTGGTGGGCGCTATGTGTCGAAAGCCGTGAAGATGCCCGGCTGCGTTACGCTCGGGAAGGTATATGAATCGCAGTGTGGACTTGGGATTTGCTGGCCTCCAGCCATCCACCCCGGGGAGGTATATGAAAAGCACTGTGGACTTGGGCTATGCTGACCTCTAGCTATCCACCCCTCCAATGGATCAGAGATTTTCTAGTAGGTAGTAGATAACGTGTCGGTATTAACGGTACCGTGTCAGACTGGGCATCAGTGCGCAGTGGCGTGCCACAAGGAAGCGTTATTGGGCCTATTTTGTTTGTTGCTTGACTGCTTCTATAAACGATTTGCCTGAAGCAGTGTCAAGCGTGTGCCCCATGTATGCCGACGACACAAAAGTTTATATTACAGTGAAGCTGAAGGATGCGTCAAATAAAGCGCAATTGCAAGATGATCTTGACAGTTAAGTTAACTGGGGTGATACGTTGCAGCTGCGGTTTAATGCTGACAAGAGTAAAGCACTTCACCTCGGGAAGAACAATGAACAGCAAGATTACAGTATGAGAAGACATGGCTGCAACGAGAGAGTAATGATTGAAAAGTCTAGTGTGGAAAAAATCTCTGAGTTTATGTCGACAAGAAGCTTTAATTTTCTGAACATGTTGAAACGCAAGCTCCCATGTTGAAACGCAAGCTAAGACATCCAACAAACTTCTTGGACTAATCACGCTCATACGAGTTCCTAGATGCAGAAGCGATGAAGTAGTTGTTTGTTGCTGTAGTGCGCCCGAATCTAGAGTTTGGAAACGTGTGGTCACCGAGGTCTGAGGACAAAAATTCAATAGAAAATTTTCAAAGACGTGCAACAAGGATAATTCTATGCTTGAAAAGAAAGTCACATGAAGGAAGATTAAAGGTTATGAAGCTTCCAAGCCACAGACATCGACATTCGACGTCTGCGTTGGGACCTCATTGAATTATACAAGTATACTCATTGTTTATACGAGGTCCCCGAAGGATTACCAGGATTTGAAACAAGAACCAACACCAGGGGCCACGGCTATAAACTAAAAAAATTTAACTCAGTACTCACTGCAGTGAGTGACAGAGAGCGCATTTTCTCGTCGACGAAAACTTGAGGTCACGGACGGACGGACAGACGGACGGTCAGACAAGACAGACGGACATGACGAGCACAATAGTGCATTTCTTTCATAAATGAGAAAATGAGCTAAAAACTGCGCTGCAACTTCTCCACGCGACAACATTTCTTTTCGGCGTTCTCGCATCGAATCACCGATACGTGGAACAGCCTCCCCGATGACATCGTTGGCGCTCCAAGTATGAACGCGTCCAAGAACAGACACGATAAAGCTATGGAAAAATATATGTTCAGACTTGAAATGCCTAGCACCATATCGAACCCGGTGGAAGTCTAGTAGCTTTTTCAAACTATCGTCAGTCATGAAAAGATCCGGTCAAATGACACGATTTTAGATAGTGGACAAGGCACGAAAAGGAAAAGAATCGGCAACAGGCCACATCAGGCCTACACTTCAGCGCTGACATCACTTTGCTAAGTGGTTTGAAAACTTTCGTCGCCGAACGCTTACGTGGTGAATAGACCTAATCGCACAAATTCTGTGCTTTCCGACGAAAATTAAAATTCACACCGTGCCTCAGAACGTGAAAGTTATTGAGTGTTATAAATTTATCGATCTACTAATAACTTGATAAGTGGCGAAATGTCTTGTGGGCTGAAGCTCGGTTATAAAATACTCAAAAAAAAAAACTTTTTAAAAAACCACGTTTTTCTTGTGGACTAAAAAGTAGAAAATAAATTATGGCTCGCCCCAAAAAACGTGTGTCGGGCAGATTTATATACTAAACAAATTACTTTTAAAAGATTTTCGTGATCAATTCATCGACAATTTACGTTACTAGTTTAAGCTAACAGAATCTGGGGTTAGGTTCAAATGCCTTACTTCCTATTCGACGTTTAACTGTTGGGTGGCGAAAATAATATTCACCGAAAAATTTAGGTGCACTAATTAAGTCTGCTTTAGGCAAATAACTTTCACTCATTGGCAGATGGTCCTTGGCCATTGTATACCCGGCTTTTCGGCATTAGCCTGTAATGCTGGTTGGGTTACTTCAATGACTAGGTCATGTATAACCGTCACTCACCGTCACCAGACAGTATAAGAGGCTTGAGGCCAAATCAAGCATGTTGAGGCTTGGGATTAAAACTGAAGTGATGTTAAAAAAAGACTAGGGGGAAAATGTTGGAGTTCTCGTTGACCACGAATCAAAGTTCTTTAACAGCGTATCACTATATTAATTTTACCTTCAAGTTAGTAATGTGAATTAACTGTTGGGACTAATTCGACGAATGATCAGATGCAGAATGTTTCATATAGCGGTTTGTCACACTACTGTAGTGCACCCGCCTATGAGGCCCTATAGAGTTCAGAAACGCAGTTTGAACACCGAAACGTAAAATGGACGAAAATTAGATGTATCTTAGCGTTCTAGCCTGTGCTTTCAACGTAACAGTTTGCACTGATGGATGTATGCAAGCATACTCACGGTTTGTAGTAAATTCCAGTAGCACTATTAGAATATAAAGTCCGACTCCTTAATTTTAACCTTGGTACTTCTTAATTTTAACACGGAAAGAATGATTTAAAGCTTACAGGGGGTTAGCTAAACTCAGTTTATCGTCGCGGAATCCTCGATAGTCGCTCTTTGCAGAATGAATTGAAAATGTTGAAGCGAAGTAGACACCGTTTTATTATTGCAGGAGCCTTGGATGTTATTCAGACAATGAAAGAATGGTTACTTGGTTAAAATGAGGCGCTTCACCAACTGGTGTAATTAGCGCCCGGAAAGAATAGAATAATGTGAAACAGACTTAGCTATATTTCATGACGTCAATCATGTACGTATGGAACGCGTGAGATCCATTTCTACACGGTAATTATTCACTTGGCTGCACATATAAACGATTTACAATAAAATATTAATACTTAGAATTTTAAGGGCATGGATTTATTGTTTTTTTATATCATCAGAAAGAAATTCGTCCATGATAAGTTCCGAAAAACTACGACCGATTTGCAGATATGTGCATAAGTAATTATGCTCATGATGGTCTTTGAGCTATATGATGAACTGTGACAATTACATGCTTTATTTTAGAACTCCTGCCAAAAACTGGCTATGTTTGAACAAAATAACCTAATTTCAATTGATTGATGCATGAATGGCGCCGAATTTACTCATCGCAATTAATAATTCCCAGCGTGGAACAATGTAGAATGCCTGCGCGCGACTACTAATTGCGTGATATTGCAGCTATTTGTACGCTTAATTAGGCATTTCATGTAAGCCAAAATAAATTGAATTGCTTGTAGATTTTTTACTCAAGCATAGGTCAATTGGAATCTGTTCGGATTATATTCATTCGATTAAATGTTCTTGAACAGTAAGTTGGTACGAATTAAATTGTTTAATCGGATGCCTAAGATGAATATTACAATGTAAAATCCTATACTATCTACAGTGACAGAATTTCTTGAGTTCTGTCTCATCCACACAAGCACTTTTGTTGTTGTAAAGATTTATTCGAGAAATTTCTTCCAGAACTTTCCATGACTTGTCTCCGCTGACGACCGAGCCTTCGAAACGGCCGCCTCCTAGAAAACAAGATATTTATCGCTTAAGGTTAAATAAGACTAGATACTGGAATGATTATAGAGATTAGTCATAAGCAAACATGAAGGTCATTTATAAATTAGGTGTTTGGTATATAACGTTCGAGTAATATTCCAAAATTAAATAAGAAATGAACCGAAGCTAAAATTTCGTAAATAAAATAGAATTATTTTATTCGAATCCATATGAAATTAGCTGGTAGTATTTCAGACCAGCAGGAGCCTAGGTCGCCTATTAGTATTTTTTTTCAATGTATATCAAATGGGTAGTAAGAGAAAAAATTAGATTAAATAAAAATGCGATGTGAATTCTTATCGCAATAATTGTGAAACTTATTTTAATTTTTTCATCTACATTTTTCGCGCACCGCAAAAAAACTGTTTGTTGTATTCCATTTCCACGTGAATAAATTGTTCAAACAATGCTATTAAGTTGTATAAAGTGCGCTTTTGTGGCCCGTTTGATATGATTAATTAAAGTATTCACTTTGTTTGTAGAACAGGATTAGTCTTCAAATTTTTATAGATATATTCACCAGAGACAATTCTCACAAGAACACTCACCTGGTGCAGTCTCGATTATCACTGTGTATGTCTTCCACTTTCCAAATTTTTTTTTTGACTGTGCCCTGTCCGAAGTTCTGGTGATTCTGGTACTCTCTAGCACTGATGATCTGTTGCAAAAGTTGCATTATTACATTAAATTTAATTACTGGTTTATAAATGTTCCTCTAGGAAACATACAATATTGTTTTTTCGATATGAATAAAAAAGCATGAAAAATATAATTTGTACGCACCTCCTTCAGCGTCAACGGAGCACAAACAGGATAATTTTCTATTAATTTATTGATGGTTTGCGTGAGAATAGCAGCCGCTTGCTGGACTTCAGACGCGCCGATGCTCGTTGGTGATGACGACTGACAAGCGCAGTAATGCCATGGAATTCCAATAGACTCACACGTTCTGTTCGTTGGAATTTCTAAGAATAAACTCTGGCCCAGCCCATAAGGTGTTTTAAGGTTTAATGAGGTATTATAAGCCCCGTGTAAAATGTCGAGAAGAGTGCAGTGGATGTCGTAGTTGTTAGTCAAGCGGCGTTGGTTGACCAACAAGTTGCGCCATGTTTCTGGAAACTCATCTTTAAACCACGGTGGAAAAAGTAATGTTGCGAAAGGTAACCTTTCCTCCAACGCACCTAGGTAAGTAGATCGTATATCACCAAATCTAAGGCCGTGGTCACTGAAGAAGAGGAGAATAGTATTGTTGCGATGTGATGATTGTGTAAATTGTTTCAGAAACCGAAGAGTTGGATAGTCCAATGGAGCGGCCTCGCGATTGCTGTCATGCGTATATGTGGCACTCCAAAAATATCCAAACACAGGTACCTTGTCTGATAAATTATTCAACGCTCTTAAAATTTGTTCGTAAACTACCTCTGTCGTGGACTGAAGTCCATAACAGTAGTGGTTATTATTTGCTTTGGGATTACCGATCTCTTTCTCTGAGAGCAACATATATGGACGAGCGTAGAAATCCGCTGGTGGTTGAACAAACCCGATTTTGTTGAAGTGAAAGAGTCCCATACTGGGGGCGTCCTCAGCATAAACCGTTGCGTAACCTCGAGCGGAAAAGTTTTTCCAAATTAGAGGACAACTGTCGTGGTTACTTTTTTGTTTCTTGTAGCACTCCAATTTGAAACGCATGAGGTCTTCTGCTCGATTACCCATGATGACAGGTGAGATGTTCACATCCGTATTGTCAGCTACTTTGTTGTAGCCCATGAAGTCCATAGAGCTGGGATCATCTGACAAAAATTTAAACGTTTCTGGCAAGAATCTTCGTATGTTCTGACGAGAAGTTGAATCGACTCCCATTAGGATGAAGTTGAGAGGAAGTGTTTCATGAGACTTTATACGTTCCTACAAGAAGAAGGCAATGTGTTAAATTCAAATTAACTCGATGCATGGTTCAGATTAATCTACCCCAAAATGAACCATGTATAAAAATTCTCAAACGAGGTACATGTACAAGTGTCCCCAAATTCGAACTTGTAAATTCAAAATTTGAATGTGGATTTCGATCTTGTGGTCCCTCGCTACTTTGCGCTTCTTAATTTGCGGTGTTTTTGTTTCTCTATTGGATTGTTCGAAGAAAAAAGACACCAAATACTCTACGCTTCACATTTCGCGGTCTCGTTAAATCACGAATTTTTTGAAAAAATTCATCAAAAGCTGTGGACCTATGGCGGAAACGTTGCGTGTACGCTATTAATGGTCAAGACTAATGGTCAAGGAATACACACTCCATTTAAACCCACGTTTATGTTTATGACCAACTAACTAGCATCAAAGTAATGAAGACAATATTACTTGAAAAACACTCACTTGTTTAGCTGTGCAAATACTCATCAGAGTGCGCCACAAGAGTCAATATAAACGAATCAACGGTTGGCCACAATTAATAGGATAAAGTGAAAAACCGTAAAATAAATAACACCAAGTGTTTGAGAATTGATTTTTAGAGAATTTGATCTTTTCACAGTGCGCATTCAAAAATGAACGAAAATATCTAGAAGAACTGGAGTGGTTCTTCAGTGAATGCTATAAAGAGATGTGTTTTTGCCTGATAAGTCAAACTATTGACCCCATAATATCCTGGAGTTTGGAATTAACTCACCATGTGTCTTGCAATTTTATCTCGTATCTTGTCCTCGTGGAAGAAGTAGTGAACATTCTTATAAAATGGTCCGGACTTGGATTCGTTTCTTGAGCAGACAACCAGAGCGCCGTCGGTTGCGACTTCTTTGGAAGCCCCGTTGCAGATCGCATAGCACTCGCTTGTTCTGCGCGATAAGGAAAAACAATTTTGGTCTAGATTACTCGAATTTGTGTTGATGAATCATGGATAGATTATTCAATAATTCTATGCCCTGAAGGGTATTTATATGATATTGTTTAAGCTTTACCGAATTACAATTAAGTTTTATTGGAGAGTAAATTTTTGTTGTGTTAGTAGTGCTGTCAGCTTCGATTAGGCCATGTATTTTTTCTGTAGTTGATTTTTAACCACTTCACTACTCCGCCGACTATGACCAGAATTTTCACATCTTGTTGCGGGTCGCGGGTCTAGAAGAACCAAATCGCTGCTCTAATCTTGATGATCTCGACCAAATAATATTATTGATACTATCAAGTCCTCATTTTCGAAACAGGTTTTCACTGCCAACCAAGTTCATAATTACAATTTGCCCTCCATATAGGCAAAAAAATACTTTAATAAACAAGACGAATCCATTTCACATCATTCTTACGTGTATTTGTTGTCGCAGCTCTCATCAAAATTGGTTAGATTTTGTGACACCCTTGTGACCTCATGGACACAGCAGGCCAGCGAGTCCAAGCTCACATTGTAGTGTTGTAATAACTTGGGGTCATCATTGATTTTGATTCTGAATCCTTCAGTATACGTGAAAGGACTCAATTTGTCTGAATTGCAATCCATCTGAGATCAAGGATGGAAAAAATTAGATAGTTCTTGCGTCCAAATAAAAATAAGTTTAAGCTAGGTTCCCTATATCGCCGAGATTGAGGTATGCAGTCGTTCGTCCTCAAATTTGCTATGCTGTCTCGCAAAACATTCCACCAGCAGGATTGGATAGCCTTCACATTTTCTGCTTATAATTTGTCTAAGCTTGAATTTTATTTATTTATTTATTTTTCTTTTTTTGTTTTGGGCAGTTGGCTGAACTTCAAGCACAGAGCCAATACAAACATAGAACAGATGATTTACATGTTGCCCGATTACTATGGCGTTATCTTTTGAAACAGTCGAACCCGAAACTAAATTGTGTAAGGGTTTTGTTGTTAGGTTGCACCATACTAATTGCACTAACTGTTTGCAGCACACTAACCTCTAAAGGTTCTCCGATGAACTTCTTAATGCTGGCATCAAAAGGGTCATACTCGAGCATTCTGCATGCAGGAGTATCGATGAGATAACCTAAGCGCTTCAAATCTGCAGGGACGAAAAATGATCAACTGTTATTCTTATTGTTATTTCATAAGATTCATTGCGATCGAGAATATCTGACAATAATTAATATTTCTAGAGTAGAATTGTACGCCCCGTATATGTGCGCCCCTCGCACATGTACTCAGAGCTCACAGGTATCAACCAAATTTTTAAATGACTAAACCTTTGTAGTAAAATACATGTAAGCAGATCAGCGAACAATAATTGTTATCGAGAATAGTAATTTCAAATTGCAATTTAATTTTATTTTCTCCCTTTTTTAAGTGCACAAAAACTTGATTCAGGGCACTGGACAGTGAAATGAAGCAAGAGGATTCCCAGCCTAAAATTACTATTGAACTTAACCTATGATGCCAATGTTGTTAACGGGCATTCATAGAATATAATATTTAAACTTATAGAAATGATGGTGCACGTAAATACATGTTTAATGCAAAGAGACGAGAAACTTGCCGTGAATGGCATTAGGCATGCTCATATGGGAACGATGAAATATATTTAAACGAGAAAACCCTAAGCCAATAATATGAGAAACACATGTCTAAAAAATTGGCGAACAATGACGATACCATGCGAAAACTGAAGCCTGCAAAAAGAATAAAACAAATTCACAGCACAATCGCAAAATACAGACGTGAAGGTCAGAGCCAGAAACTTCTTTCTAATTAAGTGATTTCAAACTATACTAAATGATTCAAGGCTGTCAGATAGGCCATTACCCGGTTAAATTGCCGATTTGGGCATTTTTAATTGTGTTCACCGGCAAAGGCCTATATGATGGCTTTGAACTTATTATATTTTTAATGTTTAATAAACCCACAAATAAAATTGTTGTATCGAAAATTTTGTTTGACGTTGATTTTATGAAAATTTGTTTTTCCGCTATGAAAAAAGGAAAGAAAATAAAAAATTTTGTTGATAAAAATTGTTTTTCCGCTATGTTGTTTTTCTGCTCCATTCAGTTCAGGGCTTTGTTTGTGAATCGTAATTTTATATGAAAAATCTAAACCAAACACAGCTCGCACTACGATCATTGAATTCAAAAATTGACTAAAAATCTTATTTTATTTCAAACAAAGAACAAATTTTGGTCTCGGTTCGTTGATTTCCAGTTAAATCAATTTTATTTATTGCTGAATAGTTATGGAATGTTTATATATTTCTGGACATTGACTGAATAAGTTGTATTTACTGATGTATTTAGGTACATGCAAATAAAGCTCTTTTTCGGCTAAACGTGCAAATCATGTCGTACAAACCTCTATGAATGATGATGCTGTTATAATTTAGTATGTTTATTGGCTGTAAAAATGTATTGGTAATTTAGTCTATGTTTAAATACGTTGATCTGGTTGTTTCCAGTTTCAATTTTAAAGCTCCGCGGGTAAGTGCTGCTAGTTTCTATTTATTGAGTGCGCGTAGACAAATGCATCCTTCATTTAAATCAAATGTGCGTAAATAGCGTGTATAAAGGTTGGCATGCTGAGAGACCTGCGATGGTGTAGGCGACCGTTGATGTGATTGGTTGGTTGGTTGTCGCGTTGATTTGGTTGGTGAACCGTCGATGCTCTTTCGTTTTTGCAGAAGCTGAAACTATCCAGAGTTAATTAAAAATAAATGTCAACATAGAAAAATATCAAGATAAAGCAATGGTTATAAAGCAGTTACTCCCTGGGGATACTTATCTATTTTTGGGTAATTGTCGAGGCTGGTGTTTTAATTTAGTCATGTATATCAACTACAACAACATGTGTGCACATGATAGAAGTAACATGCCGCTGTAGTGGCTTGAAAAATTAAGTAAAATTGGAAAAAATGTAAGAACCACTGGAAATTTTCAGAGTTGTGAGATCTTCTATTCTAGAGGTCATATAAACGTATAAGAAGTTAGTATTTGAGAAATGCTTGTTTAAACCTCCACACACTATCGACTCTGACATTCAAAATATTTTGCCGTCATGGTGAAAACCTTTGCAAAAATACCAACATTCAGCTACGTTCTTTGTCTTATTTTCAGATGCAAAGTCAAAGCTTAATTCGGATACGAATATTGGTATTAGCTCGCTGCTACTACAACTCATTTGCCATGAATAATAAATGAGGCAATCGTACGCATGTCATGTCCATTGATTTTCTAAGATATGAACGCGCATCTGGTACGCAATTTGAAATACGTTATCTCTCACTGACATCAGGAATCCATCATAAAATGACACGACATCTAAACTCGTCATGAAACCAGTCTTAGTAAATCCCCAAGAAACAGAAAAAAGTCGTAAATCATCGTATAATAAGACAAAAGTGCGTGATTATATTATTAAACGGTAAAATATCATACCCAACATAAAATGGCATGAAGAAGAATAGTTCCATTATAAAACGGCAAGACCTTTTAGATCCATTATNCGTGTCATAAGTCCATTATAAGAATGGCAATACATCGCAAATCGATCAATACTGGCAATGACTTTGTGTCGTAAATCGTGTGATAATGTACATTGTGTGTCTGATTGGATGATAGTTTATGTTGTGCCGTCAATCGTATGATGATACACTCGATGTGTTGAATTCATCGTGGGTCTCGTGCACTCGTTTGAGCCTATGACAAGTTTGCTAAAATACATATAAGCTTTAAATCGTTTAATTCCAGTTCATAGTTCGCTATTTCCAATCTTAAAAAAATTTAAATGAACTGCAGAGAATTGCTATTGAGACTAAGCAGAATATTAAGAGCAGCATTATTCACAAAGGAAAAAATAAATATATAAAAAAAAAATTTTTAAAAACCACGTTTTTCCGGTGGTTGCAAAACTAAAAAAAAATGAAATAAAGCAAATAAAAAAAAAACTTGAAAAAAACAGGTTTTCTTAACGGACAAAAAAGAATAACACTAACTCCTACATAACATTAAAGTTATGCAGAATGTGTAATGCAGTGTTGCTGCAAATTTCCCACTACTGTATGTCAGACTACGAAGTTTAAGTAGGACCGACTCTGACGTCGGTGTTGAATTGGTTATAGCCGTCAGATACTATGCCGATCCCGACTTGCGTCCTGGTTCCTCTCTTATAGTATTTTGACTCAGACGCCAGGGTGAGTTGCGTGCTATGGTGGTGAAATCTAGTTTGGAATACTTGATGGAATATCGTGATTTTTGTGTATATAACGACTTGTCATGCGTAGATATTTACTTTGTTTTCTGTTGTAGGATCGTGCGTTAATGTAGAATGTTATGTAAGAGTTAATGTTTTTTTTCCGTTAAGAAAACGTGGTTCTAACGGTTTTTTGTTTATTTGTTTTATTTCATTGTTTTTAGTTTTGTAACCACCAGAAAAACGTGTTTTTTTTTAAATGTTTTTTATATATTTCCTTATTTTCTACTTTATAGTTTAGAAATGTTAGCAATTCAAATCATTTTCCAGGGTTGGCAACTCTGCGATGTTCGACAAAAAAAAACTCGATTCCCAACCGTGAATTTTTATTTTTATTTTTTTTCATTTTTTGAATAAAAATTTTTTTAATTATTACTTATGATAATCAAATCTCGAATTTTTAGGCAGCATGAGCATGCATGCCAAATTTCAAGTTTTATGATCTTCAGAAGTGCTATAAATTAAGGTTTGAATTTTTGATGACAGACAGAGACGAAGCGAAGCTAAGAAAAACGTGGTAATAAAAATTGATTTCTAAAAATATTGTGTTCTTTGGTGATCCATAAAAGAGAAGACTATAAAAGCCTTGTATAATCTTAACATCGTGATTATAAATTCATTGCTTTTATTGATGCGGAAAGGTTTCACCAGTTGCCATGAACTGCATGGAGGTGCTGTCTTATTGCCACCTGGGCATGCAATGTTGCGTGCGGAGGCCCAATTTTAAAGGTTCACCATGGGAACCGAGCAAAATCAGAACAGCTTTCATAGAACTATGAATTGTGAGCGTCAAATACTATAATTATGAGTACAATTTTTCTTATTGAATCAAGATAAAGAAGATTTAGTGAAAACAATCGGTTTATAAACACGGGTTGTTCAATGGCGATATTGCTGAACAGTACCGGTACTCATTTCGTTCCTTCAGAGACCAGAATTACTAAGAGACATGTTTTTGTTGAGACTTTGACAGCAGCAACTATACATTATTTTATTCTTTTTTTATCAATCATGCAATGCTTTTGGTTCGATTAAAGAAAAATTATCAGTTTGAACGGTCACTCAACAGAAGGAACGTACATGTTCCCGCATTGCGACTGTATTGAACAAAATACGAATTAAATATCGTAAATATTCACTAATATATACTTCTGAACTTGACATTATAGCTGTGTAAATGTTGTTTTAAATTTATATCTGATAGCTTTGATGCCAAAGGCATCCATGTAGACCTTGTTTATTAACTAAATAAAATCGATAACGAAAGTTATGCTTGATTTTCGCTTATTGTGAATTTATTACCTATAATAAGTCAGCTGGTATTTTTGTGTGTTTATTGCATTTCTCGGCATCATGGATACAATCATCGCACTTCAATGGAATTCATGTAGGCCTTTTTGTATACTAAAATTTACATCCATTCCCAACAATTCACTTTGTGTTCATTGAAGTGCCTTTTTAAATTACCACTAATCATTTTTCATATATTTTTCTATAAAATTTTCATGCGTTTTCTGAACATTTTTCATACATTTTCAAACAATTTGTATCCAAATATCACAATTTTGCGAATCTTTCATTCGTTTATCATTATTTTCCATATATTTTTGGATTATTCTCTGAACATCCTCCCCGCATTGTTTTATAAGTTTTAGTACCTAATTATCCTTCCCTTTTAATCCCGCTCAATTTGGACCACGCATGTGATATTGGATTATTGAATTAAATATTGAGCCATCTCAAGCATTATCCATCCCAAGCAACGCTAGATTTAGTGGCCGGTATACATTTTAATCTCAAACAGCACTCTGATAGCATCAACGTACAGCATCAACATTTCAACATATGAGAGCACATAGGCAGCATCAACGTACAGCATCAACATTTCAACATATGAGAGCTCATAGACAGCATCAACGTACAGCATCAACATTTCAATATATGAGAGCACATAGACAGCATCAGCATTTCAACATATGAGAGCACTCGATCAAACATTATCAACAGACAATTCAACATTTTAACATCAGACCGTTTTAACATCAGAACATTTGAACATCAAAATTTCCACATCAGATACCATTTAGGATTTGCGACGAGAATTGCAGGAAATAAATTTCTCAGGAAGATAAGAAATATAATTTGACCGAAAACATTATTACTTTTTACTTACTCAAGAAATCGGTGGGTTCCCAGTAGCGCTCCACTGCCAACCAATACATCAGTGAAACACAAGCTAAACTAATGAGAACTAATAAAACATTTTTCATGTGCTTCATGTCGACAGCATCGAATGAACTGATTACTTCGTCACAAAATA